TAATTTAAAATAATATCAAATTACATATTTTAAATTATTGAAGGGAACAATTTTATTGATATTAGGAGCTCTCTCTCCTCACTCAATTATTTTTATTTTATTTTGTAGTTTTATACTATTTAAATTGTAAAATAAAGAACTTATTTTAAATTTAGTCCCACCAAAATTTATTTTTTTATATATTTGCCCCTCATATTGTATTTGTATCCACTGCAGGCAATCCCGCCAGAGAAGTACGATGAGAGTTACGACGTTATGAAGCCGGCGGTGAACCAAAACGCCACATACGGAAATGGAGTGTACGTTTTCGACTTAAACTCCACTGTCGACGTGATCCTTCAAAACGCCAATGCTCTGACTAACGGCACCAGCGAGATTCACCCTTGGCACCTCCACGGCCATGACTTTTGGGTGCTGGGGAACGGCGAAGGGAAGTTCACGGAGGCTGACGTGAAGAAATTCAACCTGAAGAATCCGCCGTTGAAAAACACTGCGGTGATCTTCCCTTTCGGATGGACGGCGTTGAGGTTTGTGGCAGATAATCCCGGAGTTTGGGCGTTCCACTGCCACATTGAGCCGCACCTTCACATGGGAATGGGGGTGGTGTTCGCCGAAGGAGTACAGAAAGTGGGGAGAATCCCTAGCTCCGCTCTCGCCTGCGGCATGACGGGGAGGAGGGTAGCCAACAAGAATTAACGATTGATGAAACTGAGAAGATGAATAACTCGTGTACTCGGCATAGATAGTTTCTTTGAGTTCTAAAAATTAACTTTTTGTTTTTGACTAGAATTTTCTATAGGTTTAGAGTGCATGCACTCTTAATTATACATTTTTTTATTAATGGTTATGTAAAATGTAAAAGTTTAATTTAATTTTATAAATTATTTAATTCACATTTGTATGCTTGTTATTAATATTTAAAATAAAATTAATTTTTTTATTTTTATATAAATTAATAAAAATGTAATATACAGATAAAAATTAAAAAAGTACAATTAATTTAATTTTTAGACAAATTTATTTTTTATTTAAAAATATTAAAATTATAATATCATATAAAATTGTAAATATAATTCTACACAATATTAAATAAATATAATGTGATATTAAATAAATTAAGACATATAATATATTAGTAAATTTTTTAAAAAAAATTAGTTACATAATAATATATTATATTATAAATTTAATTATAATATCACGTAATTTTTTAATTATTGTATGTTAGTATTCTATTAGCAATCACATATTTTCCACTTTAGAATGAAAAAAATAAACTTAAGAAAAAAAATCGAAGATGGACATATGTTTGCAATGGATCGATCATGGGTTAGGTACTCTTAGGTATTTCAAATTTGCAATGGATCCAATTTCCATAGGTTTGCTTTTGGGTCTGGACCACATTCCTTTCTTACGATTGGGGCTTCAAATCTATAACCATAAGTTACACAAGAAAAGTCAAAATTTGATTTGATTTTCTTAAAAAAAAAAAAAAACAATGTAAATAAATAAAGAAATCATTTAAAATGAGTGGGATCCAAATCATCCTCAAATCAATCCACTCTGTTTTGAGAATCAAAAATGGAAATCTTATTTACATTCCAAAACAAGAGAATTCCTTTAATTAATTCTATTTTATTTTTTCTTTTTGAAATTTGAAAATAAACACATCACCAAATTCACCACTAAAAATTTAAATGGAAATGGTGATAGTGGATGACAATTTGGCATTCACAAGAAAGAATTAGTTGGAATTGTCTTACCAAATATAACTTTGCCTTTGTGTGACCTAAATTGAAGTTTGAGTTGTTACTAATAAATGAATTAACAACTCGAGTTTTTGCTCTAGAGCCACCAACAATATTTGTTATATCAATATGATATTTT